GGGTGATATTTGGAGACAAGATTGGTGATGTAATTTGGGGCAGAGCTATAAATGGCTTTATATGTCATTGTTAGTGTTTTGAATTTTATCCGTTGGGCAACGGAAAGCCAGTTGAGGGATTGGCAGAGAGGGGTGGCAGATACAGAAAGGTTAGTAAGGTGGATAAGTCTGGCAGCAGCATTCATGATAGACTGAAGAGGGGATAGCCTGCGAAGAGGTAGGCCAATGAGGAGGGAGTTACAATAGTCAAGGCGAGATATAACAAGGGAGTGAATAAGTTGCTTATTGGTTTCTGAGGTTCGGAAAGATCGTATCTTGGAGATGTTGCAGAGGTGAAGTCTACAAGAGTTGGACAGCGATTGGATCTGGGGCTGAAAGGACAGATGTGAGTCTAGGATTACACCTAGTACCCTGGCATGAGGGGAGGGACTGATGATTGTGTTATCGATCTTGATGGAGAAGTCAGCGCAGGGAGTACGGGATGGGGCGAATACTAAGAGCTGAGTTTTGGAGGTTTGAGGAAGTGGAGCGACATCCATGCTGATATGTCACTTAGTAGGCTAGTAATGCGAGTGAAGACTGAAGGGGTGAGGTGAGGGGTAGAAAGATAACTTTGTGTGTCATCAGCATAGAGATGGTAATTGAAACCTTGGGAGCTTATCAGTTGACCAAGGGAGGAGGTGTAGATGGAGAAGAGAAGGGGTCCAAGGACAGAACCTTGAGGGACCCCTATGGAGAGAGGGAGTGAAGAGGAGGTGGCAGCATTATAGGTAACACTGAAGGAGCGCTGTGATAGGTAGGAGGAGAACCAGGAGAGGGCAGAGTCTCTGAGGCCAAGAGAGTGGAGTTTTTTGAGGAGGGGATGGTCAACCGTATCAAATGCCGCGGAGAGTTTGAGTAGTAAGAGTACGGAGTAGTGGCCATTTGTTTTAGCAGTTAGTAGATCATTAGTGAGTTTTAGTAGGGCAGTTTCAGTGGAGTGTAGAGAGCGAAAGCCAGACTGTAAAGAGTCGAGAAGGTTGTTGTCGGTGAGGTGGGAGCTCAGGCGATTGTAGACTAGGTGTTCTAGGCGTTTAGAGCTGAATGGCAGCAGGGAGATGGGTCTTAAGTTGTTCAGGTTGGTGGGGTCCAGGGAGGGCTTTTTAAGTATGAGAGTGATGTGTGCGTGCTATAGAGGGGAGGGGAAGGCACCAGTAGAGAGGGAAAGATTGAAGATGTGAGTGAGGGAGCATTGGATGGAAGAAGAGGGCGACCGTAGTAGTTGTGAGGGGACAGGATCCAGGGGGCAAGTAGTGAGGCGGGCTTCTAAGATAACCTTGGTGACCTCTTTGGTAGTAGCGAGGTCAAAAGAGGAAAGTGTTGAGGGAGGTTTGGTGTAAGGAATGCTGAGTGGGGTGGATGTCTGTGCAGTGGCGATGTCCCTACGAATTGTGTCAATCTTGTTTTTGTGATTATGAAGTGATTTGCAATCTCATGAGCTGTGAGTAAGGTACTGGGTGGAGGTGGAGGCGGAGAAAGTAGAGAGTTAAAAGTAGAGAAGAGACGACGAGGCCTGGAAGAGAAGGTATTAATAAGATTGACAAAGTAGACTTGTTTGGCAGCATGAAGGGAGGAAGTGTATGTTAAGAAGGCAGATTTATAGCTGGTGAATGTTTGGTGGGATTTGGTTTTACGCCACATTCGCTTCAGTGCAAGACTATGTCGTTTAAGATTTCTGGTGCGGTCAGTCTGCCATGGTTGTAACGGTCGGGGCCTGATGCTTCGTGTTGTTAGGGGAGCAAGCGAGTCTAATGCGGATGAAATTGAATTGTTATAGACAGCAGTGGCTAGGTCAGGGCAGTACAGTGGAGAGATATTGCCATAGAGTTGGTCAGTTACAGAGTGGAAGGTAGCAGGGTTCAAGTTGCAAAGGTTTCTGCTGGTAATTGTTTGCTGCTTGGAGGGATAGGTGTTTGAGGATGAGGAGACTGTGAAGGTGATGAGATTGTGATCAGAGAGAGGAAAGGGGGTGTTTGTGAGATTGTAGGGAGTACAAAGATGAGAGAAGACAAGGTCTAATGTATTCCCATCAGAGTGAGTGGAGGACTGTATGCACTGTGCTAATCAAAAAGATGAGGTTATGTTGAAGAGTTGGGATGTAGCCGGGTTATTGACATTAATAGGGATGTTAACCACCTCCCGCCCGCCATATATATAGCTGCTTGGAGCCAGGTCTCTGTAATAGCTAGTAAGTGAAGGGAGCGGGAGACAAAGAGGTCATGGACAGAGGTGAACTTGTTACAAACAGAGCGGGCATTCCAGAGTGCACATGAAAAAGAGAGGGTGGTTTTTGGGAGCATAGGGGACAGATATTAGATTGAGGGGATTGCGGCTATTCGTGGAAGAAAGAGGATGCCTTGTGTGTGGGTGGAGTAGTGGAGGACCAGGGTTTGGGGAGATATCCCCAGAGGTTAGGAGAAGAAGAAGGGTGAGGAAAGTGGCATGGGTGCGGGATATACACGAGCGTAGGTAGGTCAAAAGCACTTTTGGGTGCTTTCCCAAGCCCCGAAATGGACCAGCCTCCTGTAAGCTTCTGAGATTGTTGTCCACTCTACCAGGATCCTCCCGGCAAAAAGAAAAACCTCAAACACTTCAGACGACCACTTGTCCTCCTCCACCACAGTAGGAATAATCAAAGGGAAACTCTCATAGCGTTATACTGTTTTATTTAGATAAAATCACATAAAATTGCACTTATATCATATCCATGTATGTAGCGCTTTAAAGCAATGTGTCCTGGAACACCGTTGCACTCCACATACACCTTTGTATGGACCAGAAGTGACCCGATTAGCCACACCCAACACGTTTCGTCATAGTGGCGTCATCAGGAGCGGTTATATTTGGAGAAGGTGTTTTGTAGTCCCCTTAATATGTATATGTTAGTACATAGGGGTTTTCACTTTATATCTCATGATTTTCACCACAATTATTATTATATCTACTAAAGAGGGTGGTGCACTGTATTACGATGCACCATGGAGGTGCGTAAAATCACTCAAATTGAGGAGACAGGTCATTGCAGATCACATATTTGCATATTGAGGAGGGAGGTGCATTGTAGCACAATACACTCATCCAATCACATTATAGAGGAATATGTTTTGTTCATATTTTATGTCTGAGGTTTACAAGCACTCCTCCTGCATTGTCACCCCGTATTTCAAACCCTGGGAGGCAAAGATTCAGCCACCCTGTCTGCAGCCTGCAAAGTCCATGACAGGCAGAAATACTCTGCAGCTGGACGATGTACCAAGTGATACTCACATTTAGAGTCCTGTGCATTCAGCAGCACAAAATACCTGCATTCTGGGCATAGGTCCCTGAATGCATACAGCCTTAAATGTAAGTACCGCTCAGTACAGCATCCAGCTGCAGTGTATTTCAGCCTGTCATAGTTTTTGGATGAATACAAGTATTTTATGGGAAAAATATAGCAATTGTTTGATACATGCAACTTTAAAAATGAAATGTTTTCCAGTTAGGATTTAAATATACATTCATTTTGAAAACCGAACATTCTCTATTGCTTTAATAAATCGGCTCTTTTGTTCTAAGAATATGGGTTCTTAGAACAAAAGTGCATTTTGCAACGTATACCAAGTTATCCTGAATACTGCTTGACTTGCTCCTGCTTGGCATCAGTTAGTGGGTGTTGCACAAACTTGCAACTGCCTGTTAGCCTAGGCATACATCATCATTCATAGATCATTCATGTGTTAGGACAGGTAAACATGTCAGTTAGCACTTAGTTTCACAGTTTTAATACCTCCTTCTCTTCTAGCAAAAATGTATTTTTTAGCATTTATTTTGTGTTTTTACTTTATTGTTTAACTAATATACTGTAATCTTGAGAAAGTTTCTATATTTCATTGTGTATTTTTACATAATATTTCATGTACAATGTTGCTGTCAGTAAGGGAAACACCTATTCCTTTTAGACACTGCAGTCAACTTCTCTGCTAAACAACTAAAGCTGCCTATAGATGGATCAACAAAGAAACGGATTCCCTGATCCACACAAGTGAGGTGGATGGAGGAATATTCCCCACTGTGCTGTTTTATTCTGTCAGTGGTGACTCCTCCGTTGTTAGAATACACCAGTGCTTAAGTCAATTGGCTGCTTGCATTGATTGAATTAAAAGTTTCCAATATTACGCTATGGGAGAAACTGACCATTAGATCGAGCAGGAATGCCCATAGGTGGATTGAAATTCTGGTCCTTGCTGAACTTGATCCATATATGGCCATTTTAAGTTTTTTTTTTTTACCATATTTTTTTCGCTCAATAAGACGCACTTTTTTCCCCCAAAAAAATGGGGGGAAATGTCTGTGCGGCTTATGGAGCGGCCGGCCCGGTATTCCCTTCGTCACTGCCGTGTTAGAATGCAGGGCTGGCCGCTCAGCTCTACAGTGCAGAAGAACCCACTCGTCCATACTACCTGTTCCTGGGTCCAGCGGCGGTGTCCTGCTTCCATCGGCCGTCTTCTCTCCCCGGTGCCAGCATCTTCAGTGTGGGCACCCGGCTGTGACAGCTTGCAGCTTCACAGCTGGGTGTCCACTGGGCATGCGCGAGAAGCGCTGCACTTTGTGAATAGCCCGTAGTCTTGTGGGACCTGCCACGTGTCCCAGAAGACTACAGGGAAGGGAGGGGGAGAGGACAACTCTGCAAAAGTGGGAGCTAGTACCTGTCAAATTTGGGTACCCCGCCACCCCCCCCTTCCCTCTGCTCCTCAAAGGTCTGCAATCTCTGGTCATCTCCTGTACTATGCCCGCAGTCTCTGGTCATTTGTACTATGTCCGCAGTCTCTGGTCATCTCTTGTACCATGTCCGCAGTCTCTGGTCATCTCCTGTACCATGTCCGCAGTCTCTGGTCATCTCCTGTACTATGTCCGCAGTCTCCGGCCATCTCCTGTACTGTGTTCGCAGTCTCTGGCCATCTCCTGTACTGTGTCCGCAGTCCGGCCATCTCCTGTACTGTGTTCGCAGTCTCTGGCCATCTCCTGTACTGTGTCCGCAGTCTCTGGTCATCTCCTGTACTATGTCCGCAGTCTCTGGTCATCTCCTGTATTATGTCCGCAGGCTCTGGCCATCTTCTGTACTGTGTCTGCAGTCTCTGGTCATCTCCTGTACTGTGTCCGCAGTCTCTGGTCATCTCTTGTACTGTGTCTGTAGTCTCTGGTCATCTCCTGTACTGTGTCCGCAGTCTCTGGTCATCATCTCCTGTACTGTGTCCGCAGTCTCTGTTCATTTCCTGTACTATGTCCGCAGTCTCTGGTCATCTCCTGTACTATGTCCGCAGTCTCTGGTCATCTCCTGTACTGTGACCACAGTCTCTGGTCATCTCCTGTACTGTGTCCGCAGTCTCTGTTCATTTCCTGTACTATGTCCACAGTCTCTGGTCATCTCCTGTACTGTGTCCGCAGTCTCTGGTCATTTCCTATACTGTGTCTGCAGTCCATTGGTTTTTTTCTTGTTTTCCTCCTCTAAAATCTAGGTGCGTGTTATGGTCAGGTGCATTCTATGGTGCGAAAAACACGGTAGTTTGCACTGAGACCACACAATTCAAGCTTGCCCATGTTTTTTTTTTTCTGTAATAAAAAAACGTGTTCTTTCCCAGTATGACAATCCCATTAACACATATAAATTACAACGCTCAACAAAACATTTTCTGTGAATAAAACAGCCGCATAAATATTAGATGATTTCCATTTTCATAGCTTGAAAATACAGTACAGTATTTTGATGCAAGTAACTTGTTTTGTAATCCCACATAATGGAAATTGATGTACTCAGATTAGAGTATTAAAGTCCTTGCATGCTTTTTCTTGGTCTCAGCCATTTTCAGCTACATGTATACTGCCTTGTGTAATGAAATTAATCTTACTTGGAATCAATATACATTTAATATATTTTATTGCATTTTAACTTTTAGGTATTTAATTTGGACCGTGGACATTTATTCCTGGCTGTAGAGTACATTTTCACTGTTAATTTACATTTTCACGTCTTTTATTCAGAAGCAATCGATGATGTTAGAAACCAATGCAAGCATCAAGCCCTGTAGATCAATGTTGCAGCAGGCTGAAAAAAACTGTTTTCTTTTCTGCTGCACTAATCTGGAAATCAATACTTTTTTACTACATAGATACATTAAAGGTGATCGCTTGTAGATAAAGGGAATAATTCAAAATGTTCAAATAAACTTTAGTTTAGTTTCTTAAGAAGCTACCTGCAGTAGCTACGTTAAAGGGAAATGTCTTATCGAAATGTCTTCTTTGATGTGATCAGATTAAAGTAAACCTGTGCTTAGACAATGCAGGGCACTAACCTGTCACCCTCTCCAGCTACACAGTTACCTGTCTTCAGCTATTGGGAGTAAGGAAAAGAAGCCTTGTTTAATTTTCAGATCATGGCAATCCATTGCCTAAAGCACAATTAAACCCTTGCTGTTTATTTCTGTAATGCAGTCTGGATTCATATACAGTAATAGATATGGATCTCTTGTCCTGTTTTTTTCTGCTATGTGCTGCAGCAAAGGTAAAACACGCTGTGCTGGCAAACCACGGCTCTCTCACAAAATGGGTTACCAATGGTCTATCATGGTCCCCAAGCACAGCTCTGATCAACAGCACTTTTTGTTCCTGAGCAGTACTGTTTATTGAGGCAATGACCAAGGGGGCATGATGGTTTGCTGGAGGGGTAGGCCACTGCTTGTGTGACAGTGCTGTGAAACAAATATGAGGCTGGTACAGTGCTTACATTCTCCAGTATCCTGATGGAGTTGACATTTTCAGAGTGAAATATGTGAATGGGGTCGTTTTGGAATGATTATTAATTATTATGATCCATCCAGCACATACACTGCCCATTTGTGTGTCCTGACTTAGGCACTTTTACCTATTAGATTGTAAGCTCCTAGGAGCAGTGCTCTCCTGACCCTCTTGTATTGAATTATATTGTTGCTGTATTGTCTCTCCTTATACAGGCGTACCTCAGTTTACGAACGCCTCGGTTAACGTAATTTTCGGTTTCCGAATGAAAATCCATTGAAAATTATGCCTCAGTTTATGAGTTTTTCTTGCAATACGAGCGGATAATTGGTTTTCCATGCATTTAGGCATTTTTTTTAATCATGTTCCTGTACAGTACTATGCCTTTAAAGTGCACTTTATAAAGAGTTTTGAACAGATAAGACTTTTTTTTACTATTTTCTGACCTCCGGAATGGATTAATTGGTTTTCAGTGCATTTGCGATTTTTTTTTTTTAATCGTCCCTTTATGCCTTTAATGTGCACTTTATAAAGAGTTTTGAACAGATAAGACTTTTTTTTTACTATTTTCTGACCTCTGGAACGGATTCATTGGTTTTCAGTGCATTTACGAATTCATTTTAAATCATGTCCCTGTACAGTATTTTTGCCTTTAAAATGCACTTATAAAGAGTTTTGAACAGATAATAGCCTTTTTTTTTTTTTTACTTTTTTTCTGACCCCCAGAACGGATTAATTGGTTTTCAATGCATTCCTATGGGAAACCGCGTTTCGGTTTTCGAATTTTTCGCAATACGAAAAGTCCCGCAGAACAAATTAAATTTGTAGACCAAGGTACGGCTGTATTGTAGAGCACTGAGCAAACTTGGCACTATATAAATTCTGTATGATAATAATAATTGTACCTCCTAGATGTAAAGACAATTAAAATGCATTTTTTCTGGCTGGTCAGCCTGCATTGGGGCTTATTAATAAAGTAGACATGGCTTCTTCTTATGTATTTGGAGGTTGCATTCAGCAACACTCATCTCTTATTTTCTATTTGCCTGTGCTGCATTGTTATCAGTTACATTGCTTTGAGGCATTTGCTTATCTTGGTTATGGAGAAGAGGAGTGCAGGGACGTTTCAGTATTCCTGCCCTGTTTCTGTTGTCCTAAACAATATGGAAATTGAATGTTGTCATCCTAGGGCAGGAAGTAAGTTAATGGCAGAATCACCATAGAATATAAAGGTCAAAGAAGCCTGAAGCAAGAAAACAAATGTAGCCATCATATTTGAGGACATTTTTATTTTAACTACACTTTTAGGGCAAGTTACAGCAGTGGCAGCTGGGATGTTTCAGAAAGGCTCCATGGACACACCAATAGCCTTTTATTACTTTATCTAAGGTTACCATAAAACCGATGCCCTTTCCCTGCTGCAGCTAGGTTTAGATTGATAAGATAAGCACTCTGCATGTGATGATATTATTGCACTACTAACAATGACATCTCTGGTCCAGCACATCTCCTGAATTATTACTTGGGCAGCTAAGGTTGGTTATTGCAACTTATATTCTATATTGTGTATTTCTGGCAAATGACCTAGTAACGGAGCACATCTGTCTTTTTCTGCGAAGGAAGATCATGGAACTTAACATATTTTTCTGTTGTAAGTTGTAGTGGTATAGAGTGTCTGTGTAATTATTTGATGATTTTTTTTTACCAACAGCCTGTGCATTATGAAGAGAAGAACTGGTGTGAAGAACAGTACTCCGGTGGATGTTACACAGCCTATTTCCCTCCAGGTGTAATGACTCAATATGGAAGGTACAGTAAAGTGACAGCAAATATATACTCTATATACCGTACATAACCGAATAGAGGGAATTTCTCTTGATTCTGTGTGATGTTAGCAGTTGAAGGCTCATGCTGCCAAGGCTAGTAAAGATGAAACTAAGGAGAACTTTATCATTTAAAAAAGCCACTTTTATTTATTATTTAAAAATGTAGCCACAAGGTGATCTAAGATCTAAATACCCGGTACGACATGGAAAGAAGATTATCAATCACACGCTCCCCCAACCTCAAATTTCATGGGTTTCATGCTTAAGTAACATTAGATATACAGTCCAAATCTGATAGTTTCAATATCTGGAGTATAACCTGGTTGCATTGACTGGATTAGTTCATTTGTTAATCTTACCCTCTCTGTCCCCCTCTCCTTCCACATACCCTCCCCAATTTACCTATGGTTCTCAGTATGCATGTTTGTAGTAATCACATCATCAACTAATGGATCTCCTCTTAGACCAAGATTGTATAATTGATTTAATGATCACTACTTCAGATTGTTTGTATAACTTTGAACCTTTCTTGTAATTTTACTTGAAAATTCATTAAAAAACAAGTTGGACTAAACAATTTAGCCACAGAAACTGCCAAAAAAATCATTTATGCTGGAGAACCAATAAAAATGTGTGTAATTTTTTTGTTAATTTTAACCCCTTGGCGCCAGTGCCTCCCAGCCCTTTAAGGGTTTCAGGAGGCAGGGCGGGGTTTTAAGGTCATGTGACCGCCGTGATTCGCTGTCACAGCAGTCACATGATCGGGAAAGGTCCCAATCAAAAGAGAAGATCGGGACCTTTCCATGAGTACTGGACATGTGTGCTGGGAGCACACAGGGCACACGCACTCAGCACATATGTTTTTCTTAATTGCATTCAAATGTGCGGCTGCCCGGCATCAAGGCCCAGTCGCCGGGGGGCCGCACATTTGCGTGCGGCTGGCGCAAAGAGGTTAAGGATCTTCAATGGAAGCCCCAACTAGCAATTAAAGCAGAACTATAGGCAAAACTTTTTTTTTCATTTTGGATAGAGTAAGGAAGGGCTATAACCCATGTCAGTTGTTTAGTTTTTTTTTTTTTTTTTTTGCTACCTGTATGCCCCTTTCTGTATACCTTCACTTTCTGTTCCATAGCCAAAATAGGAAGTGAAAACAACTCCCCACAAATTAACCTCTTGCCGATCACCTGGGTATGTTTTATAACAGAAAATGGACAATATTTTTTTTTTCAAGATTTTTGGTCTTTTTTTCATTTATATTATAAATAAAATAAAAAAACCCAGTGATAATCTAATACCACCAAAAGAAAACTCTATTTTTGTGAAAATATTGTATAAATTTCAGTTGTGTTCAGTGTTGCATGACCACACAACTGCCAGTTAAAATAGTGCAGTGCCAAATAAAAAAAATGGCCTGATCATGAAGGGGATAAACTCTTCCAGAGCTTAAATGGCAGAGGGAATCCCCCAGGTTACGAGAAATAGGGTCCCTATTGGAAGATTTCCCTGCTATTACAGTTCTAGGGACAACCCAAAATTTGGGATTTTCTTTTACTTTCATTTTTGATGATAATGGTGAACAGAATAGGGTAAATCTCCCTAAAGGTTGGCAGAGGTAGCAATAAAGACCTGACAGGTGTTCTAATCCATCTCCACTCTGTCCAAAACGAAAAAAAAAAAGTTTTGCCTTTAGGTATACTTTAAATAACTTTTACATAAAGACCATTCTTTTAATAATATGAAGTGTTAGTAACAAGTGTTACTTGGTGGCATAGACATAGGCTACTCAGAGATGAGCAGGTATGTCTCCAAGAATAAAGGAGGTTATATTCAGGATTACTACATAGTTATTTATTTTTTTTTTTTTTTTCTAAATGTCCGTATTTTTTCGTTTATAGCTAAAAAAAAAAAAATCCCACAGATGATCAAATACCACCAAAGAAAAGCTATATTTGTGGGGGAAAAAATTATATAAAATGTATTTATGTACAGCGTTGCATGACCATGCAATTCTCAGTTATAGTAACACATAGCCGTATAGCAAAAAAATGGCCTGATCTTGAAGGGGGTAAATCTTCCGGAGGTCAAGTAGCTAAAGAACAATTAGACCTTATGTTGTGGAGGTGAGGACAGTGGGGGGGATTTAGTAGTTTAGAAGAGACAACGATGCATAGTTGACACTGGCTGAGTTTATTCCATAGCAAGAGATATTTTTCTGTATTTGCAGGCACTTGCAGGGGCCAAATGTATTACAGAGGTGTCTATACTAATTCAAAAATTATATTTGTATAGATATATACTGTGTATATATATATATATATATATATATATATATATATATATATATTTGTGTGTGTATGGGGGTTATTTACTAAAACTGCATAGTGCAAAATCTGGTGCAGCTCTGAATAGAAACCAGTCAGCTTCCAGGTTTTGTTAAGTCTCCGTTCACATCAAATCCGATTTTGAAATCGTGCGACTTACAGCGAAGTCGCACGATTTCAAAATTGAGTTAGATGCTGATTTCCTTGCGATTCGCAAGACATCTGACACAGATGTCTATGCAAATCGCAACAAAAGTACTACATGCACTACTTTTGAAATCGGCGCAGCTCCAACCAAGTCGGAACCGCACCGATATGACCGCTCTGATAGCGGACAATAGGGTGCTACTTGGCATGCGTTTTTGCAAGTCGCATGCCAAGTTGCATCCAGTGTGAACCAGCCCTAAAGCTTAACTGAACAAGCAGAAATTAGAAGTTGATTAGTTGCTGTGCACAGCTGCACCAGATTTTGATTGCACCAGTTTTAGTAAATCCTCCCATGTGTTTCTGTATAACTACATTGTAAGACTGTGAGCTCTGTCTAAGGCAGGGACTGGTGTGAATGGACTCTGTAAAGCACTGTAGAATGTGTTAATGCTGCATAACTACATAAAAATTATTGATTACATTTTGTCCTATCTCTGAAGTGTCATTCGACAGCCTGTTGGGAAGATTTACTTTGCTGGCACTGAAACTGCCACACAGTGGAGTGGATATATGGAAGGTGCAGTGCAGGCTGGCGAGAGAGCAGCAAGAGAGGTATAAAACATTTCTCCCTTATAACTCTGAATGTGCATAGCATTAAGAAACTAACATCCATATGGCTGTATTTTTCCATTTTGTTTGCTTAAAGTGGAACTTCACTCTTTCAATCAACATGGATTATTTTTAATCCTTATGTAGCTAGCATTAGTAAATAGATAGGAAAGTATATTATATTTACTTGTTTTAAACTTTTTTTTTTTATATTTATTCAGTTACTTCCTGGTTTTCATTCCTAGGCAAATGATGTCACACATCCCAGGAGTATTCAGGAGGGGAGAGGAGGGAAGGTTTTCTCATCTCAGCCAATGCCTGAGCTAAGGTTAGATGGATTCTAGGAAGTAAATGCTACATGAATCATCTGCCCTTACTCAGGATGGCCACTGCCAGAAATGCCCAGGGGATATTTTTCAAAATGATTTCTATGCAAAATAAAGCATGGATACATGGATGGATGGGGGGAGTTTGCTTTGAATATTAAAAATGAATAAAATAGTATTTTTGGTTTGTGGGGCCCAGATGCATTGTAGTTCCACTTTAACCACTTGCCCTCCTGAGGATTTACCCCCCCCCCCCCCCTCCCCTTCCTGACCAGGCCATTTTTTTGCCTTACAGCACTGCATTACTTTAACTGACAATTGCGCAGTCATGCAATGCTGTACACAAATTAAATTAAATCCTTTTTTCCCCACGAATAGAGCTTTCTTTCAATGGTATTTTATTGCCTGTGCGTTTTTATTTTTTGCACTATAAAAAAAAAGACCAACAAAAAAACAATATTTTCAACTTTTTGCTATTAAACATGTCCAGTAAAAAAATGTAAAAATCTAATTTCGTCATAAAGTTAGGCCAAAATGTATTCTGCTACATGTCTTTGCTAAAAAAAAAAATCCCAATATGTGTAAATTAATTGGTTTACGTGAAATTTATAGCATTTACAAATGACGGTATATATAATGGGATTTTTTTTTTTTTTTTTTTTTTACTAGTAATAGCAGCGATCAACAACTTATAGCGTGACTGCGGCGGGCATTCTGACACTGGAGGAAACTGACTTGGTGTCACTGACATCCCCAGTGACACCAATACAGTGCTAATAGAAAGCACTGACACTGTACTAATGGCACTGGGCAGGAAGGGGTTAACATCAAAGGATTAACTGTGTGTATGTGCTTCACTGTAAGCACACTGCTTTGCATAGCTGTGCTATATACAGCCATGCAAAGCAGTGTGCAGGAGCTGACTGGAGAGAACTATTTTGTATACAGACAGGTCTCCCCCCTGGTTATAAAGAAGCTTTCTGATGTTTTAGTTGAGCTTCTCTTTGGGAGCCGCTGTCATTTTAGGCAGAAAGTGGGTGATCCGGAGGGATGAGAAACACTGGCCATGTATTATAGGAAGTGTCAGAACCTGCTGTCTCGGCTTGTCCAACCTCTAGTTTTCTCTTGGGTGCAAGCCTTTCAGTGGCTACATTCCAAGCTCCATGAAGGATGGAGCTTGAACGTAGCCACCGAACACCAGAATCTGATAACTATTTATTTTTTTTTTCTTCTGCTTTTACTGTCTGGTAACTGGTAACAAACACCTTTCACATTCAGCTAAAAAGTTTGAGTTTTTTTTTAAGGTTTAGTTATATTTTAATGTTTAACAATACACAGACAAATTAAAGGGAAACTAGGCTTGTTAAAGCTGAACTTATAAAACAAACACCAATTAATGCAGCTATATATACACTATATTGCCAAAAGTATTAGGACACCTCTCCAAATCATTGGATTCTAATGTTCCAATCACCTCCATGACCACAGATGTATAAAATCAAACACCTAGGCATACAGACTGCTTCTACAAACATTTGTGAAAGAATTGGATGCTCTCAGGATCTCAGTGAATTCAAGCGCGGTACCGTAATAGGTTGCCACCTGTGCAAGAAGTCCATCCATGAAATTTCCTTGCTTCTAAATATTCCACAGTCAATTTTTAGTGGTATTATAACAAAATGGAAGCAACTGGAAACAACAGCAACTCAACCACAAAGTGGTAGGCCATGTAAAATGACAGAGTGGGGTCAGCGCATGCTGAAGCACACAGTGCACAGAAGTCGCCAACTGTCTGCAGAGTCAATAGCTAAAGACCTCCAAACGTTGTGTGGCCTTATGATTAGCACAGAGTGTAGAGAGCTTCATGGAATGGGTTTCCATGGCCGAGCAGCTACATCCAAGCCTTACATCACCAAGTGCAATGCAAAGCACCGGATGCAGTGGTGTAAAGCATGCCACCACTGGACTCTAGAGCAGTGGAGATGTGTTCTCTGGAGTGACCAATCATGCTTCTTTGTCTGGCAATCCAATGGACGTGTCTGGGTTTGGCAGTTACCAGGAAAACGGTACTTGCCTGACTGCATTGTGCCGAGTGTAAAGTTTGGTGGAGGGGGGGTTATGGTGTGGGGTTGTTTTTCAGGGTTTGGACTTGGCCCTTTGTGCTAATAAAGGGAACTCTTAAGGCCATAAAGGTAAGGTCCATAAAGTCATGGATGAGCGAGTTTGGGGTGAAGGAACTTGACTGGCCTGCACAGAGTCCTGACCTCATCTCGATAGAACACCTTTGAGATGAATTAGAGTGGAGACTGTGAGCCAGGCCTTCTCATCCATCAGTGCCTGACCTCAGAAATGCGCTTCTGGAAGAATGGTCAAACATTCCCAATAACACACTCCTAAACCTTGTGGACAGCCTTCCCAGAAGAGTTGAATCTGGTATAGCTGCAAAGGGTGGGCCAACTCAATATTGAAACATAGAGACTAAGACTGGGATGCCATTAAGGTTCATGTACGTATAAAGGCAGGCATCCCAGTTCTTTTGGCAATATAGTGTATATTTAAATAAATTAAGGCTCATGTTGACGGCCTTGTTTTTCTGCATTTGACATATGCCTGGAACACACATCAAACTCAGGTCAGCAAAATTCATTTGACTTAATTGAGCTGTTCACATGGCAGTTCAGAGGCTGTTTGACCTGTGTTGCTTTGTGCTGCATTTCTTTGGGTGTCTTTTAAGGTGTGTTTAAACTGCAAGCAAATCAGGTCAAAAACAGCATTTTCTTGTCAAATGCATGCAGTTAAATTTGAATGGCAAATGCTTGTATAAAACGAATGTCCATAAACACAAGCCCTTACATTTATTTTTAAATGCAACTAATTCAAGTACCTGATTTTGGCTTGCTATCTGCTTTTTTAATCCCCTGGACAGCAGTACCAAGACTTTGAGAGAGAAGGTACAACTATGGGCAGTTGTGATGCATTACATACAGTCTGGCAAAAAAACAATTGCCAGGAGTGATTATAGAGACTGATCTATGTACAGTACTTCTGCTTTGCCTTCATTATCCACTCACAGTCATGGAGGTGATTAGATTGTGTTGCTTAAGCACAGTAGCGAAAAATCAGGCCATCGACTTGGTCCTGCTGTCTATATCAGAAATGGTGTATATAGTTGTTTGAGTAGTGTTTTGCTTTGAATATTTAAATATATATGTAATGTGATCAGCCAGATGAAAATATTTCTATTAATGGAAGTTAATGTGCTTCTGTGCATGGTTTGAGAATGTATATTGTATGTACAGTACATACTGGCAGGCTGGCTGATGTATTATTTATACAAGCTGAGCTTTCTGCTTAACATTAAAGTGATTGTGAAGATAGAAGTTTTTTACCTTCATGCATTCTAGTGCAGTTCCCCCCCAACCCTGCACCCCCCTCCAATAATTCCCCAATCCTGATCCAGCAATGCGCACAAGAGCAGCGGCTCTCCCAAGTCTCTCCCTCTTCATTGGCTCAGGCACAGCGGCACCGCCAGTGAGGAAGGATCAGGGGGCGGGCTGAGTTGCTCTCTGTGAGTCTTATGGACACACAGAGGTGGCTCAGGAGCGAGTACGCACAAGTGCCTCCACAGCAAGCAGCTTGCTCTAGGAGCACTTGACGGGCAGAGGAGCCAGGAGTGCCAGTGGGGGACCCTAGAAGAGTAGGATCAAGGTTGCTCTGTGCAAAACCACTGCACAGAGAAGGAAAGTATGACATGTTTGTTTTTTTAAAAAAAAATAAAAAATTAACCTTTAGAATCACTTTAATTATTATAGCATAAGTTTGTCAACAGTCTTGCTGGGATGGACAAATGAAGTAAAAGGCCAGATTTGTAATGTTGCTTTGTGGTAATGCGTTAGCATCTAGGTGTGCTGCGGTACCACTTATTCTGAACGGCACCCCAATGCACTTTACCAACACACCCAGGTAAAGCACTACAATGTGTTGTGATGCTTTGCTATAAACATATAAGCATGCCATTCTCTCGTGGTGAGTGTGTTGGTGCGTAAGGCAGCCCATTCAAGTGAATGTATTGGCGTAACACACAGCACATCAACAAACCACAAAGACTTTAAATGGACCCTTACACCCGGGTCACACCTATCCCAACTTTGAAATCGTGCAACTTACGGTGAAGTTTCACGATTTCAAAGTCGGATGATATGCCGATTTGAGGTGCGATTTGCAAGACATCGGACACAGATATCTATGGAAATCGCACCAAAAGTAGTGCATGCACTACTTTAGAAATATTTAGAAAATATGACCACTGTAATTGCGGACAATAGCGTGTGACTTGCCATGCAATTTGTAAGTCATATGGCATGCAAATCACATGCCAAGTCAGACCCTGTGTGATCGGGGTCTAAGGCTGGCCATACACTATACAATTTTCTTGAAAATGTTGCTTTAGATTTATCAAAAACCGTATAATATGAGGTCAAACCTAAACAACACTTTCAGTTGTATCCAATTGGGCAAGCCCTTGCACTACATAGTTGAAGGTAAATCTAAAGGAAATTGGACAGAAAATTGTATAGTGTATGGCCAGCCTAAGGTTACATTCACACAAGCAATTTAGGCTTGTGCTAATTGAAGCAGTAAGAATCTTCTAATTCCTGCTGCGGTCCTGAGCAGCTAGGTGCA